CCCACATGGATGGGTGAGTCAAGCGCAGCTCCCTCCTTCCCTTTCAATCCAAACAAGCCACACCGTTGTATCGGCAGTATCCCCCTGCTTTATCTCAAAGGGGAGAGATATGGAGAAAAAAGGGGAGGGTGTCTAAGTGCAGTAAAAAAACGTTTATTCGTCCAAGACACATAAAAAATTGCACTTACAAGATCGTTGGTTTCAATCGCGTATACAGAGAATCCTCAGCTGTAAGAGGCAGAAGGCAGTTCGTTCCCTTGATGCGTTTCGTCTCTTGACGTTATCAAAAGGAACTCTTACTCTGTTACTTCATCACTCATCCTCATTTTCTGGAACACTATCACTATACCACACTATTATTGTGGACCACTACAGTCAACTATATGTCGTGTGAGGAACTATTACCCTCTGATAATAATACATTGGAACATTTTAACACAAAATAGTGGATATGACTTCATTTCTGAAGTTCTCCCTCTCTAAAAGATATGCTCTAATGTAACCATTCCCTCTGAACTGTACTTACTAAATAGTTCATTAGTAGGCACAACCTACATATGCCGTTCGGATCATCTCAGGTTAGGCTTACCCCTTAGAAAGTATTAAGTTTGAAAAAGTTTCTAAGTTTGTATTTGGAGATGAACTTTAACTCTTCGGTTGCTTCCAATGATGAATTTCCTGCAAATTTCCAGTATTTAAATTTGCCTCAAAATGCTATCCAACAAGTTTGATAGCCAGCTCTAGGACAATCACCCACAACAATGTATTTATTTTTTTCCCCTTCAAGGCTTTAAAAAAAAAAAAATTTCTGGTGTCATTTACATTTTCTCTTTTACACACCCATATCTGAGGGCCACATTTCTATTTTATTGAAAAACAGTTGCTTGGGCCTGTTGTGGAATCTGGAGATTGGGTGGGGTGAAAGGAATGTGAGGCGGTGGTGTACCTAGCTACCAGTTCAGCCTTGCTTCATCCTTGAACCAGTGGAACTTTGCTACCATTGCACCAACTACTAGTGCAACCTTGCTTCCATCGTTGTTCTCCAGTGTCTCCAGTACCACCTGCGATATCTGTGCAATCAGTGCTATTAGTTAGACATGTGCGATTCGTTTTGTTCCGAATCTAAATTCGGACGAAATTTCGGAACTTCGTAGATTTGGAGCATCAGAATTTCCGAAATATAACGCATCCGAATCCGAAATTTCGAATCCGGAATTTGGAATCCAAAATTTCGGATTTGGAACGAATTTTGTCCAAATCCTTTGCGTGCACTGTTAACATTTAAACGGATAAAAACAAATTAAGAAAAGGATTTTAATGTCCCTTTAATAGTAAAGACTAGAGCACAGCAACCAGAAATTACAAATGTGCCAATTCTGCTATCCCACCTCAAGTTGAATTTTCAGGAATTCGTCCCAATCCGACACTAATTCCAAATCAGATCCGAATACGAATATGATTCCCGCAACGAGTTCAACTTTGGACCCGAATCCGAAAAATGAAATAAACGAAATCCGAAACAAAACAAATGTTTAGCCGCTGCAGATGTCTAAGTATTAGTTATATCTAAACTACTCACTACAGTTTCTAGAAAGCCACCTTTACAGCTCTCAGGACACCTACCCTCCTCTGCATTCCTTAGTACCTATTGCACCTGGGGGTAGCTTGCAGCTAAGCTAAACTCTGGTGAGGGGATCCCTGGCAGAACAGCAGCTATCCCTTAGACTTCACTCTCATGCAAAGCGGTTGTATTGAGGTCTACACCCCAGAATTGTGACATCCGGTTCAAAACTTGGTAATAATTTACACATACTTCCATACCTAAACTCATCCAAGTTTTTTTTTTTTTTTTACCTATTAATCTTATTAAATTCCTTGCTTTAGTACACTTGTACTCAGGTAGGTAAAATCAACAGGACCATACATTTTTGGCACCTACTCGTAAATATATATTCTTATACTCAAGGTAGCTTCATCAGCAGTCTTAATCAGGCAACACAGGGATCACTTTATATGCTTAATTGACCAACAACATAACTGATATAAAAAAATGTTTATAACTATAATGCATGCCATTTGCCATAAGGATTTTTTCAGCTGTATCATTGTTATGTTTAGTACTCTTTGGCTCTCAATGCTGAAATAACCAATTGTTATAGCCTAGTTAATTAAGCCTAAAATAATTGTTCATTGCCGTCAGTGACAACATTTTATGCATGAAAGTCAACTACAATTGCAGAAAATTGCTTTAAAACAAATGTAATTGCCTCAAGTATAGAGTAGTAGGGATTGCCATGTTTTGGAAGTTTAAACTTTTAGACTCTGCATTTGCTAATTAGATTCTTCTTTAAACTTGCTATCTGGAATAGTAGTTACTGAACTTATAGATTTCCTAGTGGGGGAAATTAAAACTACGCAAATCACATTTTGTTTTACCCCTTAAACTCCATTTAAGAAACAGATGTCTGTTACATATTTTCATATGAGTGTGCATTGACTGGCTTTGAAAAATAGATTAAAACTATTAACTGGCCTCATTACCACATTCAGGACCACTATCAGGTCAGTAATGGCATTTCTATGGCAGGGGCTCTGGTCATATATATGTTGTTTGGGACCTGATACACCAGAATTAATGTCGCCTGTCATGTCAGGACAATATATTGCATTGCATTACATTACATTGGAGTGGAATGTCTCCACACCATTTTTACAAGGTGTTGCAATAGTGGGAAAACACATGCAAAAAAGAACAGCGTTAAGTAGGTATAATAAGAAGTTGTGCTGAACTTTTAAAGTATGCTAAAAGAGTGTTCTGTAAGTTTGCTGTGGAGAGAGATTCCAGATTGTTGCAAAGGAAAAGAGGTTGCTGTCGGTGGGAGACAAGATGAGCATGAGCAGGGAAAAGCCACTGGTAAGATTTAGGGAGATTTCAGGCAAATAAAATGTAATATATTCCTTGGACTGACAATGTATTAGGTAATCATTTAGGGCTTCAGAAAAAGATTCCAATTACTATTTAACCCAACTAGATGTTAGGAACCTTGAATATGAAGTGCAGTTTAAAGTAGTATTAAACTCTCACATTTTTTTCAATAATGAATCCACAAATATACATTGTTTAGCAAAGAATTGCTTTACATTTTTGCCCAAACACTTACAATCGTCATGTTTCTAAACAGCTGCTTCCAAGTCTCTAGGCTCAGCTTTCCTGAATTTCCTGTCTAGTACAAGATCACAAAGGACAGTGCAGACTCCAACTGTTCATCTACTAGCTTGGAGGAGGGAGGAGAGGGGGCCAGGGGGGAGGGTAGTAGCTTGATTTGCTGTGTCTGTGTGTTTGTGGAAACACACACAGCTTACTAGCACACACAAGGGTGACTGCATAGCGCTCTGCTTGAGAAAGGAGTCACTTCAAAACAGGATATCAGGACCAGTGCTCAGGTGATTCTACAGGAAGGTAAAACTTTTAAACATCAAGAAGCAGCATCCATTGTAAGTGATTTCATTAGCTTTTAAAAGACTTTGACTTTAATATTTTTTTAAGGTTTATTAGGAATTGAAAGCTCTCTTTTGCTGAATTTATTGGTTGATAAAACGTTTTAAAGAATTTTTTTCAGGTAATATGACTCACCTAATTTGGTCAGTCATAGAATTTGACTTAAATAGAAAATTAATATGCATGTAAATACAATTATTGACATTGTTAAATCCATAGAACGTTTAAATGTTAATTTTTCTAAATGCAGGGACATAAAAGATATATGATATGCAATTGTGCAATAATATGTAGCAATGGGTATGGGGCATAGGATGTTATATAGAAGTGTATCCAGTAAATACCGCTTGCAACTATGTCCATTTTTGTGGTTTGCAGCTTTTCCTTTACTCACCTCAATTGTAATGTAATCTAATGCAATTTAGTTGGATATACTGTGGCTGCACAAGCCAGTTAAATGGTCAAAGACACCCAGGTTTTAGCAATCACTGAATTGAAAGGCTATGCAAACACCAGCTTTAGTCTTTATTTGATAAGGTCCTCTTGTTTCATGTTTAGGGGTTTTGTAAGTTCTTATGTACAGAATAGTACTATCTGTAGAGCATGCTACATCTCAGCTGGCATATAAATACTTGCAATATACATCACTTGACTGTACCTACAGTATGATTATATAATTTCACTTTTAATTTAGAAATACATTTAGAAATTTATTTAAAAAATCTAATAAAATTTTCATTTCCACAGCATGAAATGTCTTTCTATTCCTTGCAAGAATTTATCAAAACTGAAGCTGACAGAATCTGGAGCAGTTGCCTACAGTAACCATTCAGCTTCTCTCTTCAGTTTGTTCAGTTAACCACCTTAGTACCGGAGCAATTGTGTAATTTTTACACACACATACTACAATCTGAGTTTTTAGATATAAATTTACTTTAAACCCCCAGAATTTTCTGAAAGCTGAGGCCGTGCAGAATAGAAAAAATGGTAGCTGCATGTTTTTATGTTGCACGATATAAATGTTTATCAAATCGATATTTTTACCAAAAAAAAAACATTAAAATTAATTTTAGTGCACGCAAACACAATTTGACACCCAGTGCTATCGTAAAATATATTTGGTAAAAGATGACTGATAATAAGATCTGCCAGCACAGTAAAGACAGGATTAATTATAGTAAACGTTAACTCTACACTCCTTAGCATTATACAGAGTAGGATTTGTAGGATTAGGTAGGGTAGTTAGGATTTGTATACAACTAAAGAGCAGTTAAAAATATAAGTATTTGCTTATTTATTTTTTAAGTTATGCTATAAATAGAAACATGTAACACATATGAAGTATTTGTTATCCCAATGTGGCTGCAAATGTGGAAATTCACTTTAAGAAACCAAAGGGACCAAGTAAAATAAGTTGTTTAAAGGGGTTTACATACACTTTAATTTTTGTTTCAGTTCTGTATTTGCTGATTTAACTTTTTTATTTTTTTGTATTGTACAGAGAAAACAGGACAGGAATTTGATCTTCTTATTGACTGGTCTGATGTGTTTAATGACCATGCCCAGACTACGGCAAAGCATGCTAACCCTTTTTGGAATGGACTTTCTGAATCCAACCCTTTCTTGGATGATGTGGTTCAAGCTAATACATGTTCAAAAACTAACGTGTCTATCCTAAAAGAGGACCCGTACATGCTGTTTAGGGATTCAGTCAAAAGAAATTCAATATCAAGTTCTGGGGATGAACTTGATATAGATCATTTCCTGGGAAATTCACCAGCAAACAGATCTGCTAGATCTAAAAGTGTATCCTATTTGGATGTTATAGATGTTAAGGATATCGATGGACCAATAATTGATGACCAGATTCTGGCTCCAGACTTGGAATGGCTACAAAATGACCGGGAAGCCTATAAGATGGCTTGGTTAAGTCACAGGCAGCTGACACGATCATGTCTTGATTTGGACGTTATAAGCCAGAGCCCAGGATGGGCACAAACACAAGCTACAGACACACACATAGTTTGCAAAGTAGATCACAAAGGTGGTTCTGTGCAGCTTCCTAACTCTGATATTACCATTCATGTCCCTGAAGGTCATGTAGGTGCTGGTGAGTTTCAGGACATCTCCTTAAAAGCTTTTCTTGATCCACCAGTATCTCTCAACAGTAACATGTCAACTACTGTTAGTCCTTTTCTGGAAATAACATTAAGTAATATTAATACAGTTGAGGCGCTCTTACTGGAAATGAAAATTACGGCTGAGGTAAAGAACGATCCATACAGCCAAGTCATGACAGAGATTGCAACATTTTATAGCTACAACAAAGATGGCCCATTTGAAAAAATCCCATATGGTTACATTTACAATAACATACTACAAATCAAGTTACCTATTCTGAGTCATGATACTTATATAGTAAGTGCAGCTGTAGCCAAATCATCTCAGAGCCCAGTTACATCTGTTTATAATTACATCCAGAAGAGTATAACAGTGGCAGTGTATGGACCAAAACATATCCACCCAGCCTTCACTACAGTCTTAGCAGTTTTGGGACACAACTATACTCCAGACAAACTTACAGTTGATGACATTAAACGACGGGGAAAAAATATGCCACCTCTAGTTTTCCAGCTCTGGGGAAAACATCAGTTTGTTCTTGATCATATGCAAGATGTGCTTGTTGATTTTGATTCAAGTGACTCCAATTTTTCAGTGAAAGCAGCAGATAATAATAATGAAATCAAAGAACCACAGTTAAAGACAGGCAAAACAGTTCGGACTCAGTTTTCCTTTTCATTGGCAGGAGGTCAAGAAGCATCCCCATTTGTTTTTTCAGTCCTGGTCAAGGATTCTAAAAGGTCTTTGTCTATATCAGAATTTACAGTTGAGACTCCAAATCCTGCACCTAAAATACACATTACACCAACAAATCAGACTCGTTCACAAAAACGCAGGGAAATAATGTCTACAGCCGTTCTGCCAGTTATCCATACTATTAAATATCCACAGTTTCAAGATAGAACATTGAAGATCAACAACTTTGCCGTGACTTTAAAGACTGTTTTGCGTCAGCAAAAGATTGACTACTTCCTGGAGTATTTTAAAGGAGACACAATTGCGCTTCTTGGTGAAGATAAAGTAAAGGCTATTGGCCAGACCAAAATTAAAGAGTGGTATGTTGGTGTTTTGAGAGGGAAAGTAGGTCTTGTCCATTGTAAAAATGTCAAAATAATTTCTAGAGAGCAAGTCATTGACTTTTCGGATGTCCATTTTTCAACTAAGATGCTTTTGGAACAGATAGCGCTACCATTCAAAAAATTAACATACATCTACTCATCGGTTCTGTCAAATGTGTCAGACAAAGTGTATGACTGGAGATGCTTAGCTGATGCCCTTGGATACTCACATTTGTCACTGGATGATCTTAATCACACTCTTCTTGCAAAAGAGTCTGATAGAGTTGCTGCTTTGGTGAAAAAGCTGAAGGAAGATTGCCATGCTGACTCCAAAAAGAGAAAATTTCACTCTGAACTTATTATGGTAAGTCTTTATGTCTTACAAAGTTGGCAAAAGCTAATGTCTGATGTTTGTCCCATTGGTTGTGTATTTTCAATCTACCCATTATGTGTAGTGAATGAATACATTGGACCCCATTTGCAACTAAGGATTCAGATTTCCTATTGTGTAAATTTCAACTTTTATAATACACAATTTCTCAAATGTATAACTAAACAATACCATATAGTTTTTTGAAAATGTGTTCAAGAGCAAAACTAACTCAAATCATAAAATCAGCCTTCACTTTTGCAGAATTTATTTCGTCACCTACTGTATATGTGTATACTAAGTGCTTCAGACATACAGAGTACAGAGTTTTAGACAAAGATTGTTCAGCACTCTCAAGTCATAGATTCTTATATGTGAACAGTTTCTCATAGCACTGAAGGGTGAGATGCTATTTTATGGGCAATTATATTTTTAAGCATGATGGGTATTCTGTGTATTTGTGTGGTTCTACATTGTGGGACTATAGCTGTGTAGCTGTGTACTTCCTGGCTGGTGGCTGCAGCTAATCAACTATTTACTCAACTGCTGTCAACTCAATAAGCTATCTACAAGATCATCACAAACATGTTTATATGACAGCTACTCTAGCCTGTACACATAAAGTTTCCCCAGGGGAGAGGTGCCGGAAAAGATAAGATCCACAACATCTGCATTTTAATGGATTTTCATAAGCCATCCACTACTAACAAGCAATCAGGTATATTGCTGGTGAAATGCCACTAGTTATATTATTTTATTATTGTGAGTTAGCAAGTCAAAGCAGGAATATAACACTGCCCCCACTCTTTCAGCTTTTCTCCAGATTTTCTACATCACCCTAAAATTAAGCTCTGCAATCCTATAATCTTATCTTATCTCATCTGCTGATGTGATATTTACTTTCACAATCTGTTTGTAGGGTCTGTTGAAGATTGACTGTCAAGCATTAGTAGCTCGGCTAACACAAGACACAGTAATTCTGACTGCCGCTGTGCAGCTAGGCATACGTTGGAGGGAGCTGGCTGAGAAACTAGCCAGACTTACAAAGCAACAGATTGAAGCATATGAAATCCCTCATCAAGGAAAGACCGGAGAAGTCGGTCCACAGGTATACCAAAGAAATCACATGCTGTTTTATATTTTTCCATGCAGATAATTGAAGGGTATGTTTGCATTTCAAAACTTCTCAATTGAAGAAATTGGGTGTCCATCCCTTCCTGTAGCTCATAGAAAATATCAGGACCAAGGAATGTTGAAAAGTGATTTCCCCATCCTTCACAGAACAAGGGCTGAATGAGAAAAAAAAGCAGTGTATGGCCAACATTAGAAAGTGCAGTCAGTCAACATTAAAGTGTACAGGATAATGTGGGAAAAGACAGGAGCCCCTTGCAGGTTGTTACTGCTATCTGGGGCTTCTTTAGATAGGTTTCCCCTTGCTAACTGTGACGGTGAGGAAAAATATGACCTCCAAAAGTGAATATTAAAACCAATGTTCTAAAGCAAGTTTTCATTTAAACATTTGTACAAAAATCTGCCAGTGTATGGCCAGCTCTGGAAGATGCTGGCATCTGTTAATTAAGCGAATGGGGCATTCGGGTACAGAAGATCAAAGCGCTAATGAAAATGACAAAATCTTTCCACATTTGTACTTATGAAATACATACTGGCCACAAAACGTTTTACTGCCAGTGAGCAGGACTGTTTCTACAGACAATTCCTTGCCAGGGCAGCTTGATATGAAGTACTCACAAAGCCTTCCACCAACAGTTCAATCTTCCTTTTACTATACACTCTGCATCTGCACCTCTTAGACCCATGTGTACCACAGAAAGGTTCAGTTGAGTGAGGCGGAACTGAGCAAAATGTTTATATTTTTATAACAATGTCCTGATGTTCTACAATGTATTATAGAAAACCTGTCATGTAAGAAACAGAGGCTACTACGATTGATCTCCTTAAAATGCTAGTTGTTTGACTGCCATGTTGACCGTGTCTGAGTCAATAACCCGGTGTAAATATGCAGACAAAAACTTTGGACTTCCCTCTACCTTTCCTGATCTGCATACTTGTTTCAGGCCAGTGACTTAAAAAGCATTAAAGCCAGTAAGCAAGCATAAGAGTCAGACAACCAGCATTATCTCATGTAGGTCAGCAATGGCAGCTCATTCATGACAGGTTTACTCTACGTTGGACACCTACTTTAATTTTAATATATGTTTGCAGATGATGTGGAAGCCTGCCTTTGACTTTCTCTATACCTGGGCAGCTCACTATGGCGAGAGTTACAGAGATGTGCTACAAGACCTGCACTGTGCATTGGACAAGATGAAATATCCCGTCACCAGGCAGTGGAGGGAGCTGACAGGAGCTCTCATCTTTGTCAACTGTTTGGAGATATTCCAAATGACTTCATTCAGCAAGTTAGAAGATGAATTTTGAATACAGTCACTCTATTGTTTATTTATGCTCAAAGACATATGGACCTTTTTATTGTTCAAACGTACATTGATTTTCATGATTTTCCGGCAGTAGGATTTGCCATTTATGCAGTTACTAAGGTTTTTCTATATGCGGTCTTGCTAATTTTATTTTTCTACATAATATCAGTGTCATTAGCAACATTCCAGCTGGCAGGTGCCATAGCAACCCAAACAGTGTTCTAAAATTACCGAGCAACTAGTGCAGCAACATACTTTGCCTTTTGTATATAAATGCCAAGCACACAATGTTTTTAGTGTCCTTTTGTCCGGTTATATATTTATTTTTAGTTTCTATAGGAAAGTGTTGTTAATTATGTTTAACTTTTTACATGGTCTGTGTCAGTATAAGTCTATTATGTATCTATTATGTATTACAAAAGTAAAAAGTGTCTGAATAATATTGATACTGTGATGATACCGTGTGCATTATATTAATATTATTATTATGTTTTAACATTCATACTGTGATAATCCCTTGTAAATGAGCTTGTCCTATTTATGATGCCAGCTATTGTTACAGAACTGTGAGATTACTCGTGCACATAACATGCAGTCTAGCTAGTAACTCCTCAGTGGCTCTTAATGATCATTTAAAGGTCCTTGTCAGGAATAATACTTTATACATGTGATTTTTATCTGAAAGTAAGTGTCAGTAGAGAAAGAACAGGAAATGTAATAGAGGTGGGTTTGGTGTTGATTTGCATACACTATTGGTTGATTTTCTACATCACACACCTTTGACTTCAAAGCCAAGGAAGCATTGTGTTGATATTTGGGTTGTGTTTAGGTAACACCCAATTTGAGCACAATAGGTATTTATCATGTACTATATGTGTCCTTCTCCAGTTTGTATATGCAGCTATTCTACCATTGCTTCTATTGTCTTCTACATGACCTGCCCATTGCATATGGGTGCTGATTGGTCACATTAGTAAGGCTTGGCTATTTTTGTAAGAGATGCTATTGATATAACCAAAGCTAGGAACAATCTGCTTGTGAAAGAGTTAGAAAATGCACAAGTAATTATTATGACAGTTATCACTCACCTATATTTTAAAAGGGTCAGTCCACCCAAAAAAAAAAAAGTTTTTTTGAAAATGTTAAGAATTTAAACACTTCTAAGGAACTATATTGATAAGATCTCTGGATTGAGTTCCTTGGTGTGATCCTGAGCTTCTCTGAACCCAGAAGGAAGCTTTTTCTGCTACCGCCCAATCAGCTGCAGCTGGGAAATTCCCCACCCACAGTTGCATGTAAGCAAAGCGGTGGAATGCTGTGATGTCATTGACCTTATATGACCACATGGCTACATTTGGTCAATGACATTGACTTAATATGGCCATTTGGCCACATAAGGCCAATGATGTCACCACAAGCATCCTGCTCCTTTGTTTACTTGCAGTTGCAATGTGGAGAATGCCCTGACCTGCAGCTAATTGGGAAGGTGGACACATCTCCCTTCCAGGTTTGGAGAAGCTCAGGTTCCAACCAGGTTCAGTCCAAATCTGAGATCCTCCTTATTTCTTGTTTTGCAGTACCACTGTGAGGAGTTCTCAATTTTTGTTTGATTGTTTTTCAATTTCTATTACAAAGAATGACATAGGGTTTCTGCTCAGGGAGCATGAGCATTGCTGACTGGAGGACAGTAGCTGTAAATATACAGGGGGCTTGTCGGACCACTGCTCTCACACATCTCATAGATCTCTTGAATCTGTTATGAGTTCACATTTGCAGATGTTATGCAAAGTACAGCCTTCTAACTGCTAAAACAATTCACGTAATTCTTTGTGTTTTCTGGAATTTCATGAGTGTAAATATAGCACCAGAGAGAGCAAAGTGGCATTGACTCCAAAGTTTCAATAAAGAAATTAAGAAGTTAATGGTCATGACTTATCACTGTACAATTGAATCCTCTTGAGGCTACAGCATTCAGGTAGTGTCTCTACAAGCTGTTCATGAAATTGCATATTGAAAGTGAATAGAAGTCTATTTTTCTTGGAATAGAATCTAAACAGATTGTAAATAAGGATATGTATCTATGTTATTCAGTGCAAAGAAGAATTACTGTGTGTGTTTAAGGTAGCACAAAGCCATGTACTGGAGCTGCAGATTTAATCAAACCAACCATATATTCATTGTGGGAATAGTTTAAACCGTTTTAAAATGAACAGCTTCCATTCATATAAAAATACAAAAGCCCCATTTGCCGAACTGTTTTGTATTGCCTATACCATCTAATCACAATCTCATTTTCATCCTCCAGTGCAGGTTGTAAAGGTGACAGAAGAATAAGTGGCTTCTATGTGCACCACAGAGGGGCCTTCTTACAGGCAGTTAGGTCTCATTCACACTGGCATTGACAAATATGGGTTTATAGCACTTTTCTAAACACATAAAAATGCACAAAATATTTGTATGGTATCACTTAGACTGTTTGTTTACCTGCTTTTAGGTGCATTTAGAGAAAATAGAAACATGTGCGTCCAGGGAAACATTATAAATTTGAAACATGGCTGTATGCATGGAAACATGGCTAAACCCACGTAAAGGCTTATAAGTGAGGCTGCGTGTGTTTATAATATATGGGGGAAGCAAAAAGTCTGTTTAATAAGCATTAAAGCATATTTAAACCCAACAACAAACTTTTTTTATATTGAAACTTGCCAGGCAATGCTTGTGGTGCTTGCATTTGTTTTCTTTTTCCGGCTTTTGTTCCCTTTTATTTTAACCTGATGATCCTGCCAGTTACACACTTCCTGTCCTAGGGTGAAAACGCCTACTCACCACTCACCTCATGCCTCTTACATAGAGGTAGCGGTGTACCTAGTGTGTTCGACACCTGCGACTGATTATTTTTCAATACTCCACTCCTGTAGAAATCAAAATTATTTTCAGTAGTGCTCATAAAATAATGACTAATATTGACCAGTAGTAATGAGTTAGGGCTTGGTGTGAACCCAGTTCACCCAGGCCTGCTGAAAACTGTGACTAACACACCCCCCACCAGCCCTATCAGTTGCTGCAGGGCGATTCCCTGCCCTTTTGTGACTTTGTAGCTGTGTGACTGAGCCTACTACAACTGGTGGGGTTGGGAGGGGAAGTGTCGGTCACAGTTTTGAGTGTGTTGGGGTGAATCCAGATAAACTAGGTTAACACCAAGTCCCAGCTCATCACTGCTGGCTAGGAAAGAAACAGAGGCAGTAAAAATTTTCTTTACCTAAATGTTGAATATATAATAAAGGCAATGAAAACAAATTAAAAAATAAATAAATTTAAGGGTGTATTGAAGCTTCTTTCAGTGCACTGCAGCCAACAAGGGGACAATAGTGGCATAGTTTTAAAGTGACAGGCCTACAGGGGAATTATAGTAATATGGTCCTCTAAACAGCGGCAACAATACTTTTTATAGTAAGACAATCCTGACATTTCATGGTCTACAAATGAGCATCCCTATACAGTACAGGGGCAACAAATGGGCAATCCTTAAAGTATGGACAGCAACAAACAGGCAATTGTTAGTGTATGGGCAACAAACCGGAAATCCTTGCAATACCTGGGCAGCAACTGGACAACCATTACAATATATGGGTAACAAACAGGCAACTGTAACAACAATACACAGGTAAAAATTATTATTTTATTATGATTAGACAGGATTTATATAGCACCACCAGTTTGCACAGCGTTTTACAACATAAAAATAAACCGTACAATTACAATTCAGTTCAAAACAGGAGGATTAGGAGGACCCTGCTCATGTGGGCTTACAATCTAAAAGGGAATGGCAAGTGATACAAAAGGTGGTAGCTGTGTGGGGATGGGTTGATGGAGAAAGTTAAAATTCCAGTTGTTAGGTAGAGGTGGGTTAGGCCTGAAATAACGAGTTTTCAGAGATCACCGAAAGGCAGATAGAGAGATGCAGATAGCCAGAGAGATTGGGGTAGAGAGTTCCAGAGCATGGGAGAGACTCTGCAGACGTCCTGGAGGTGAGAATGGGAGGAGGTGACAAGGGAGCTAGAGAGCAGAAGGTCTTGGGAGGAGCGAAAAGGATGATTTGAGCGATATTTTGAGATAATGTTAGAGATGTAGCTGAAATCTGAATTGAGGAGGGCTCTGCATATTATAAATATCTAGACTTTTATTCTTTGGGGTATCAGAAGCCAGTAGAGGGAGAGAGTGATGAAATGTGGCCAAAACAGGCAATGCTTACAATAATAAACTGCAAGCCCCAGTATAAATTACAATTGCAGTTCCATAAACGACAAGTAAAAGTGTGCATGTACATTTCTGTGTATACATACACATTAGACACATACTTACATACACACACATACACTTTTTCCATTTCCTGGAATTACATGTGCTAGCATTCTGAGTAAAAGAGTAGTAGTTGCAGTTTTATAAAGGAGATTAAGGATATATATATATATATATATATAATGAAGCTACCTCAGACCTCTGTTAGAGTAGACCCACTGCAGGTAACTCTTTCCCACAACCAGTAAGGCCAGTAAATTGACATGCTTCCCTGCACTTCCATTTAGACCTCTGTCAGCGTGGCAACCAAAGCATTACCCAACTGCTGAGAGTGCCCCGCTTCAGTCCAGAGCAATTGACAGAAGAATATCTAATTACTCACTTCCTTTGTGGCTCTCTGCATTCGACAAGTTACTCTTACAGAGGTCACCATGAGCATCCCATTTTCCTCGGGTGCTTACCCAGTCGTTTTGCGCCACACAGCGCTTCTTCAGGAGAAGGGGGTAGTTCCCTCAGTGCGAGATCATCAAAAGCATAAATCAAGGGCAGATCGTGGAGAAACAACTAGTCCCAGGATGGAGGAGAATAAAGAACCAGTTAGGGGCTGCTCATAGCATCCCCGATCTGCCCTATGTCTTGATTTATGCTTTTGATGATCTCACACCGAGGGGACTACCTCCTTCTCCTGAAGAAGCGCCGCGTGGCGCAAAACGCGTTGAGTATTGCGATCATCGCATTACCACCCATCTATATGGTTCCACTTGAGGTTATGTGCAATATTGTTCAAAGAATTGTACTTTTTTCCTAATCTATTGTCCATATCATATATGGTATTACCCTATTACATTAACTAGGCTCTAATCATGTTATGTGATCCTATGATCATGTTTATTATAACCTCTATGTTGGAAGTTGATGGGTGTTAGGAGGTCCTCTTCATCGTTCATGTATCTTGTGCATTTTTAAATATATCCACTTTTTAATCTTTTGTATAAATAAATAATATATTTTACGATATATATACAATGTTTTTGTCTCTTGGACTTGTCATTAGGTGCCAAAAAACCCAACTGCTTTCTTTTTCTATTTTGTTACTACTAAAATGATGCATAGCAGTCAACACAAGCAGAGAGCACAGAAAGTTATCAGTTAAAGAGATTTCTGGCAAAATCAACAGGTATTTTTTTGTACTAATTAAATATAACAAAACACTCAATTGTATATTATCAAAGCAAAAGAGAGCAAATAAGTGAAGTTTCTAGCTTGGGTTTAAAAATGAGTCTGCTTTAGGTGATACTGAATGAAGTATTAGTGATGATAGTGGCCCAAGAGCAAC